GCATGTACCCATGGAGGTAGGATCCCACAGCCTTGCTTCCCCCATGGACCCCTCCCCATGGCCTTCTCCTCTGAGACTGTTACCCCCTCCTCAGTCTCACAACGGAGACAGCTGATGAGCTTGGTGGTCTTTTTGAACCTATAACTTTACAAGGGCTTGTGGACTGGCCGTTTCCAGTTATGCTTATGTGCAGTATGGGTTCTGCTGCCCTTCCCAGGGAAAGCAGTCCTCAGGACAGGTCACAGCAGCATCGCTTCTTAATGAACCCTTTCTGCCTCTCTCCAAGGCCCAATCCTTGTCATCACCGAGTACTGTCGCTACGGAGATCTGCTGAATTTCTTGAGGAAGAAGGCTGAATCCATAATTATTCAGGATTCGGCTCTGGACACCTCTTTAGACAGCGCTGCTGACTACAAAAATGTGGATGTAGAGAAGAAATACATCCGCAGGTAAGAGCAGAGTTCTGATGGGCACAGGGCTGAGCAATGCAGGGCCTGGGGACTTGCTGGGAGAAGCCTGAGAGGGCTCTGCTGGGGCAAGATCAAGGCCAAGGGTCTGGGGACTTGCAGAAATACGAGGTTGTAAAAGCCACTGGGGATGTGTGTGTTTAGACTTGGTTACAGTGCCAAGTTTTCCAGTCTTTGCAAGCAATTGTTGAACATCCCTCAACAACAATAAATCCAGGTTTCAATCTGGTCTGTCCCCCTGCAATCTGGAACCAGAACTTTTCAGCTTCCTGCACTTTTGGTTGTGTGGGTTTTGTAGGACAAGAGGCTGAGCACTCCCCACCAGCCAAGGGCAATCCCTTGATAAAAGGGGAGCAGTGCTTGGACCCCCTCATATCGCAGGGCACCTAGGTCCCCTTTCTGAATCAGCCTCAGCATTGACTTTTCCTTTGCCCTGAAGCCTCTAGCTAAGCCACTTCTTGCAGGCAGGGATGTGTTTTCTTCTCTGGGTGGATGTGTAGAAGGGCAGAAGGTACTTCTGGAGGGTTGCTAACAGCCTGCCTCCATCTCTGTTTCTTCTGAATCAGTGACAGTGGCTTTTCAAGCCAAGGTTTGGAAACATATGTTGAAATGAGGCCTGTGTCATCATCATCATCTTCAGCATCATCAGATTCCGCGCAAGCCAGGGGTGAGTTACAGGCTCATTTCTGTGTATTCATGACTCTTTTATTCTGGCCATCCCATCTGGTTTATCCCCAGGGAACCAGGTTACAGCACAGCTTGTGTTACTCACCAGGTTTGCAGCAACTCTGAAACTTTGCTTTGAATTTTAGGGAAAAGCTCAGAGGAAGAGGATGAAATCAGGGAGGACCTCCGTCCCCTCAATCTCTCTGACCTGCTACAGTTCTCCAGCCAGGTGGCCCAGGGCATGGCATTCCTTGCATCAAAAAACGTGAGTGCCAAGAGGACAACTGCCCCCAGCACCCTAACTGGGAAACGCTGGTCCAGCCAGCAGGCACCATCCATCCTGGGTCCATGAGGCTCAGGATGGTTTTGGATGGGGTTTTTGGATTCCAGCAAGTGAGCTGCTGCTGGAAATGGGCCGCTCCACTCCATTTATTGGGTTCAGACACACCTGGCCATGGTGTCTGGTGTCCCCTTCAGAGCTTTTGTCTCCCACTGGCTCTGGGCAGGGCAGTGTTATTGGGGGGGAACCCAGGGCTGTGCATCGTGCTGGTCTCAAAGTTTTCTCCTCAGCTTTTACACGAGGTCAGGAACTTTGAGGCGAAGCTTTCTCGCCTTGGCAGCTTCCCCACTGCCCCAGGGACAAGGAACTGAAAGTGGCCATTGAGTTTGAGCTGTCTGCCAGAGCTGGCTCACTTCGAGCATCGGAGAGTAACCAGCCGTGTGACTGTTCCAGAGATGAGGGCACTGTGTCAACAGCCCCTGGCTCCGAGCCTCCTCCCCTGGGGAGGACAATGGCCCCACGAGTGATTAAAGGACGTGGCATGAAATGTCACAACATCTTAGCGCCGCAAATGAAGCAGTTGAAAGAGAGCCCATGCTCCTTCTACACAATGCAGTGCCTCTCACAGGGGCTTTTCAAGCAGTACGGGCTCCCCTTGTCCCCCCCATAAGCGGTGTTGTGGTGACAGGCCTGGGCTGTAGGACACTAGCTGGGACCACTGGGGGACACTGGCTGGGTCTCAGTTGCTCTGTCTTCTCCCCAGTGCATCCACCGTGACTTAGCAGCCAGGAATGTGCTCGTATCAGATGGAAGGGTCGCCAAGATCTGCGACTTCGGCCTGGCCCGGGATATCATGAATGACTCAAACTATGTCGTGAAAGGCAATGTAAGTCACTGAAACGGGGACAAGAGGAGGTACCAAGGGGAGGGTGCAGCTGGAGCACGTAGGACAGGGTGTAGCGTAAGCTACCAGTCTGTCCCAGTCTGCAGGACCCTTTGCTCTTCCAGGCCCGCCTGCCGGTGAAATGGATGGCCCCCGAGAGCATCTTTGACTGCATTTACACAGTGCAGAGCGATGTGTGGTCCTACGGCATCCTCCTCTGGGAGATCTTCTCCCTTGGTAAGAAAGAAGCTTGCAAACCTTTCTTGTTTTCCACTGCTTACCACTGTCCTAACGCCTCTGCAGAAAAATTTCCGAGAAAGGAGAGTGGTTGACAAAAATCTAGGTTTTATCAGGGCTATAAAACACTACCTCACGCTTCCAGAGGGACCATTAAAAACAGTGGGTCCTGGATGATTCGCTGTAGCTCAGAACTCCCTCAGAACAAGCAGCACTGGCTCAGGCGATGCTCCAGGCTGCTGCTTCTCACCCCACAAGGTTGGAGCCTCAAAGCCTCTGATCTGAGAGCCACCTCTGCTCCTCTTACCACCACAGGTAAAAGTCCATACCCCGGCATGGTGGTGAACAGCAAGTTCTACAGCATGGTGAAGCAGGGATACCAGATGGCCAGGCCCGACTTTGCTCCCTTGAAAATGTAAGTTGGATGCACCAAGTTGCACATGATGGGTGTCAGGGTGGCTGGAGATGCTTTGTGGGGTCAGACAGGGACCTTGGTCACAGGTCTGCTTGCTTCTTCCAGATCTGTCTACCTTTCAGATCCATCTTGGATCCCACCAGGCTGATCCTTGCTTCTCTAGGAAAGCAAGATCTGGAGCGGTCAGTTATGATGCTCCATCCAGTATTTCTTCTGTTTATGGGCAGGAGATGGGGGAGCTCATGTTATATGTCTACAATCCTGAACTTGGTGGATTTTTCTTTGTTTCAGTCAACTACTTTTGACCCTAGGAGTTAGAGAAAACAAGCCAGAGTAGGTTACAGGAGAGGAATGAGCTTAAGCTTAAAGAAAAAAGTACTGGAGGCATAAAGCTACTTGTTGACAGAGAAGTTTTCTCTCTGCACTTCTGTGCTCACCTATCCCTGGAGCACTGCACATGCACCAACCACAGGTTTTATAGACAGGAAGACAAGTGCTGTGTGCCTGAAACACAAAGTGTTGCAGGGAAGAGCCTGCAGACCCTCCAGCAGCACCGTGCAACCACCCTGTCCCTGTTTTGGCCCTGCAGGTACAACATCATGCAGGCGTGCTGGAGCCTGGAGCCCACCCAGAGACCCACCTTCGACCAGATCGGCTGCTTCATTCAGCAAGAACTGGAGGTGCACAAGGAGCAGGTGAGGACCTTTGGAGAGGAAAATGGGGAAGGGGGACAAGCTTTCCCACTATGTGAACAATATTCCTGGTGATCTCTCTCTTTAACCAATGGGAGCAGTTTAGTGTTGGTGGAAAGCACCCAAAGGCATCCAGATTTCCCCTTTGCTGAAGGGTTAAGTCATGACCAAAGGACACAAAAATACAGCTGCTTTGCAGCAACCTCTATGGGTGGCTATAGGACTACCAGCACCACTAATTCCAACCCCTTCCCCTGGGTTTGGTGTGCAGCTGGACAAACGGCACCTGTCCTGCCAGCCAGCCATGCCCTGTTGGCACAGCAAAGGGCAGTGTCGAGCTGGCATCCCCAGCTGGTCATCTCTGCAGAAACCCATGTCCTACACCATGGGTTTCTGTACACCATGTCATAAGGAAGGGACTGAAACACCCTTGGGGTTGTTTTTGCTTTGAAGGACTACACCAACCTCCCCTCCGCCGCCGAGGAAGACAGCGGCTGCGACACCTCGGGCTGCTGCGAGGAGTCCTGCGAGCAGGAGGAGAGCGGCCAGCCCCTTCTCAAGAGCAACAACTATCAGTTCTGTTAAGCTGGTACCGTCGCCCCGGGGTGATCCCTGTCCTCCCAGCGCACGGTTCTGCTCTGCCCTGGGACACAGGCACCTTCTGCTTTGGCTCCCCTTGCTGGGCTTTCTGAAGTACGAGTGTTACTGACTCCCCCGACAAAAGGGTGGTGACCCAAAACCAAGACTCACCACGGGGTCCCCAAAGTCCTATCTCAAGCGTAGCATAGAGTTGTCAGGATGATAACACCCTCCCTCTCTGCAAGGTAGGGGTCCCCAAAGTCCTATCTCAAGCGTAGCATAGAGGTGTCAGGATGATAACACCCTCCCTCTCTGTAAGGTACAGAGAGGTCCCTGTCACCTGCCTCCCCACCCTTGTCAGGATGATAACACCCTCCCTCTCTGCAAGGTAGAGAGGTCCCTGTCACCTGCCTCCCCACCCCGAGGCTGGAGGCTGTTTGTGTTTTCTATATTTTTTTTTTAAATACAAGTTGCAGCCAAGTTAGACATTTCCAAAAGTCACTCACGTGACTGAACCCTTGCGTTTTATGAGCACGCCTTGAAATTTAAGTCCTGAAGCTGGAACTGCTGCACACACCAGTTTCTTGGTGGTCCTGCTCTCTTGTCTGTCTGGCTCTGGATGAGGCAGAGTGAGTGTGTAGATATAGGTAAAGCCTCTACTTAGCATTAAATATGCATTAACCTCTACCTTTCCTCATGCAATCTACCTCTCTGCAGCTGGTGCTTCTGCAGGGTTTGAGTGACGCGAGCCAAGGAGCCAACCCCAGGGTTATGTAGTGAAGCGAGCCAAGGAGCCAACCCCAGGGTTATGTGACCTTGTACCGCAGTAGCAGGACAGAGGGGCAGTGATTTCTCAGGTAAAACAGAGAGGTAACCAGTGCTCTTCTGAACACAAACCCAATCCAGGAAAGAATGGCAGCTTAAACAGATCTGGAAATGATCAAGATGACACATATCCTACAAACCTTCTGAAGTATTAAAGATGTAGCAATCACTGCCTTTGTCACGATTACAGATATGCTCTTGTACATATTTTCCTGGGCATATTTTAATAGTACCACTGAGGTAATTTCTTTTTTTTCCCCATAAGCTAGGGCCTAATGCCCTTCAACTTGTTTCTGATCTAGCTCTTGTTCAGGCTTACTACTGCCCCAGCCACCCGGTCCTGTGGAGCTCTAAGAAGCAGCTAATGGACCTTTGTAGCTTCACCAGCCTGGGTGGGGGGAGGATCTATATTCCAGGTACAAACACTGACAAGGGCTGAGACACAACCACTGCAGGGCAGGTGGCCTGAGCCACACGCTGTGGGCCACTTCTGATTCTGTTAAACCTGGTCTTATGCTAACACCAAGTGATTCGCTCCTCCTTACTAAATAACAAGCTAACCTATTTCTATCTGCCAGCATTATAAAGAATAAACTAAGATGTTTAACAGAACAAGTCTCTTCCGAGGGTTTAAGGACTGCTCTCGGAGGGGAAGGGATCCGAGCACGGGTGATGCACTGGCCCAGCCTCTCACACCCTGCAACTCTGCTCCAGTTCCCCAAACATCTCATTACCAGTTCTCAAAACCATTCCACCTTGTGTAATACAAAAAAAACAACTTAATAAAAGCAAGGTTTTAAAGCACTTTGCTCTGACTGGCCTGTCTGTAACTGGGAAAAATGAAGTAGTCACTATGTGAAGATATAACGGGGGGGTAATTGATGATGGGACATCTGACAACAGTCAGTGTCTGAGACAGCCGTGTGGCAGCACAATAATATTACCTGACACTCTGGTGAGATGGCCCAAGCAACATCTTGAGCTGCTCCTCTCCGAACACCTTGCTTTTGAGAACACCAGGCTTTTGCCCACCACATGGCAGTGCAGACTGGAATGGTGGTGTACATCCACCTGGTGTTTGTGCTCTGACTGCCATCTTCCAGGTCTTGTACACAAAAAAAACAACAAGTCACTCAGCCACAGTTTCACCCCAAAAATTGGAGATAATTTATTAAACTTTATCACTGACTGAAAAAAGTCACTAATGTCTCTTATAATAAGTTAATGTTCTTAACAGAAAAACCCCAAGCCATAATTACTGCATTTCTCAGACTTAATACATTTACTTTAACAGTACGGTACTCAGTAGGTTCCCCTTCACAGAAGGGAATTTTCAACCACACCACAAGCCTCTGAATCTTCCCCACTGCTCACTCAGACAAAATAAACTCCCTAGATGGCAACTTAGCAGTCTGGCATCCCCCTCCTCTCCTCTGCAGGTCACAGCTACCACCCATCCACCTTCATCACCAGCAACAGGGAGCTGGCAGGAGACAACACACTAGGACTGCAGCCCAAGGTGTTCTTCAGACATGCTGCAGGGGCAGAGGTCTTGGCCCCACTCCTCTCAAGGAGCAGATAAAGCAACCTGGATGAGGATGAGACTTCTCTGGCCCTGACACCTGACAGAGTGGTGAGATTGCACACGTGGATGCAGCTCCCCCCAGGGAGGAACACCCAGCCCTTAGACATTTCCAAAAGTCACTCACGTGACTGAACCCTTGTGTTTTATGAGCACGCCTTGAAATTTCAAGTCCTGAAGCTGGAACTGCTGCACACACCAGTTTCTTGGTGGTCCTGCTCTCTTGTCTGTCTGGCTCTGGATGAGGCAGAGCGAGTGTGTAGATATAGGTAAAGCCTCTACTTAGCATTAAATATGCATTAACCTCTACCTTTCCTCATGCAATCTACCTCTCTGCAGCTGGTGCTTCTGCAGGGGTTGAGTGAAGCGAGCCAAGGAGCCAACCCCAGGGTTATGTGACCTTGTACCGCAGTAGCAGGACAGAGGGGCAGTGATTTCTCAGGTAAAACAGAGAGGTAACCAGTGCTCTTCTGAACACAAACCCAATCCAGGAAAGAATGGCAGCTTAAACAGATCTGGAAATGATCAAGATGACACATATCCTACAAACCTTCTGAAGTATTAAAGATGTAGCAATCACTGCCTTTGTCACAATTACAGATATGCTCTTGTACATATTTTCCTGGGCATATTTTAATAGTACCACTGAGGTAATTTCTTTTTTTTCCCCATAAGCTAGGGCCTAATGCCCTTCAACTTGTTTCTGATCTAGCTCTTGTTCAGGCTTACTACTGCCCCAGCCACCCGGTCCTGTGGAGCTCTAAGAAGCAGCTAATGGACCTTTGTAGCTTCACCAGCCTGGGTGGGGGGAGGATCTATATTCCAGGTACAAACACTGACAAGGGCTGAGGCAAAGCACAGTGAGACACCACTGTAGGGCAGGTGGCCTGAGCCACACGCTGTGGGCCACTTCTGATTCTGTTAAACCTGGTCTTATGCTAACACCAAGTGATTCGCTCCTCCTTACTAAATAACAAGCTAACCTATTTCTATCTGCCAGCATTATAAAGAATAAACTAAGATGTTTAACAGAACAAGTCTCTTCCGAGGGTTTAAGGACTGCTCTCGGAGGGGAAGGGATCCGAGCACGGGTGATGCACTGGCCCAGCCTCTCACACCCTGCAACTCTGCTCCAGTTCCCCAAACATCTCATTACCAGTTCTCAAAACCATTCCACCTTGTGTAATACAAAAAAAACAACTTAATAAAAGCAAGGTTTTAAAGCACTTTGCTCTGACTGGCCTGTCTGTAACTGGGAAAAATGAAGTAGTCACTATGTGAAGATATAACGGGGGGGTAATTGATGATGGGACATCTGACAACAGTCAGTGTCTGAGACAGCCGTGTGGCAGCACAATAATATTACCTGACACTCTGGTGAGATGGCCCAAGCAACATCTTGAGCTGCTCCTCTCCGAACACCTTGCTTTTGAGAACACCAGGCTTTTGCCCACCACATGGCAGTGCAGACTGGAATGGTGGTGTACATCCACCTGGTGTTTGTGCTCTGACTGCCATCTTCCAGGTCTTGTACACAAAAAAAACAACAAGTCACTCAGCCACAGTTTCACCCCAAAAATTGGAGATAATTTATTAAACTTTATCACTGACTGAAAAAAGTCACTAATGTCTCTTATAATAAGTTAATGTTCTTAACAGAAAAACCCCAAGCCATAATTACTGCATTTCTCAGACTTAATACATTTACTTTAACAGTACGGTACTCAGTAGGTTCCCCTTCACAGAAGGGAATTTTCAACCACACCACAAGCCTCTGAATCTTCCCCACTGCTCACTCAGACAAAATAAACTCCCTAGATGGCAACTTAGCAGTCTGGCATCCCCCTCCTCTCCTCTGCAGGTCACAGCTACCACCCATCCACCTTCATCACCAGCAACAGGGAGCTGGCAGGAGACAACACACTAGGACTGCAGCCCAAGGTGTTCTTCAGACATGCTGCAGGGGCAGAGGTCTTGGCCCCACTCCTCTCAAGGAGCAGATAAAGCAACCTGGATGAGGATGAGACTTCTCTGGCCCTGACACCTGACAGAGTGGTGAGATTGCACACACAGATGCAGCTCCCCCCGGGGAGGAACACCCAGCCCTGCTCGCTCTGGTGACGCTGCTTTCATCGTTCCTCCTTGATCCCACAGTCTTTGTGATTCTGTTCTGTGGATGCAGCTCCCCCCAGGGAGGAACACCCAGCCCTGCTCGCTCTGGTGACGCTGCTTTCATCGTTCCTCCTTGATCCCACAGTCTTTGTGATTCTGTTCTAAGGAGAGGACGACAGAAACTCAAGTCCTTGAACAGAATGAAACTGCTAAAATAAAAATATTTTTTAAAAAAATTGTCTGTGCAGACAGCAGGGACATTTTGAGTGTCCTTCCCCTTTCCACGGCCACCACCTCACACAGTGCTCATAGAGACCTCCAAGGAGCCTGGCTCCCCTGGGGCTCACCCAGTCATTTCTTACCTTAACGTAGAGAACACTTTTCACTCATTGTATGTTTCAGCTTCTAAATTATTAGTGCTTATGTGAAGGGACAAAGAATTCTAGAAACTTTCTGCAGCAATAGCACCCACAATCCTGGACCCAGGAGTGCAGCCCCCAGGGAGGCTCCCCAGATACAGCGTGTTAAAGCTGCACAGCTTCTCCTCGATTAAAGACTCCCGCAGCCAACGCATGTGACAGCTCTGCGAGATTTCCAAGCAGGAGTCAGTGTCCTAAACTAATCTGTACAGAACGTTTTGGGGGAATCCTCTCAGCTGTCTGACTTTCCTGGTTGCTCCCACACCCCCTGCCCTGCCACCAATATGCACAAAGAAGTCAGCAAGCAAGATTCAGCATGAAAAATCCCGTGCACGGCACCGTGCGTGCTCCCTGCTACCAGGAACACCTCTCTCTTCTGCAGGGAGAGAAACTCTTCCCACTGCTGAACAGTGGGTCCGTCGCACACCTCGGGAGGCGGTCGCAGCCTTCAGCAAGGTGGGAGACAGACCCACGCTGGCAGCAGCTATTGTGACACTCTGGAAGCACACAGCTCTTTGGTCATTAACAGCAGTCAAAGCCACCAGCATCACACCTCCAACCTGCACAAATAAACTCTCAAGCCAGAGAGTTGCCCAAACCTTGCAGAAGCTGGCCCGGCCCACCCACCCCCACCACCAGAGAGAGAGAAACCAACACGCCCTTTCGTTACTCAGCAACCTCTGTCATCCTCCTGCTTCCCCTCTTCATCCTCTTCTGTTTCTGTTTTAATCTGGGCCACTCCCAGGCGGTAGAGAGCGTCGCGAATCACCACCTCCCCGGGCTGGCAGCTCTGTACGATCTCCTGGATCTGCCGATTCACGATTTCCCTGCTGGTGAGGAAGTCCACGAGGCGGTTGTAGAGGTAATAGTGGGTGGCGTTGTCGAAGGTGATGGGCCTTTGGCGGACGTTGCTGGTTTTGCTGTCGTTGATGGCGGCGATGATGGCGCCGTAGGGCTCCAGCTCGCGGCAGAGGGAGATGCAGTGGTGCCGAGCCGTCGGGTCTCGGGGGCTGTTCTGCTCCGAGCCCGTGTGAACGATTCGACGCGCCGAAGACTTGGTGATGGGGTGCTGGACAGAGTGCTCGGCCACAGTCACGTCCACGCTGTAGTGCTGGTCTAGCAGTTCAGGGCAGGACACGTACTGGGAGAGAAACATACACCAGGTAGAAACAAGAAGCAACTTCCCCATAGTTAAGGAGAACAAGACAAAACTACCGTTCTGCTGAACTCCAGCCAGTGCTCTGACCCAGGGAGGGGTAACTGATTCAGGCTTCCTCTGAACGCCACAAAGATGGTTCTGTACACTCCCTCCTCACTCGTGTGCCCTCAGAGATAATCCCATGGCACTGGCAACCCTCTTCCTCTCCCATTTCTCAAGTAACAGCAGTAGTGAGTCAAAATAAGCGACATGCTCCAAAGTTCATGATTTGAACCATTACAATGCCCTGCCAGCACAGCTCTCCCTGTTAAGGAGCACAAACCTCATACAATGCCCCAAGCAACAGGTAACACTTTCCGCTGTGCTCAGAAGCAAGAAGCCTTGTGGCCTTGAGCAACCTGCTCTAGTGGGAGGTGTCCCTGCCCATGGCAGGGGGGTTGGAACTAGATGATCTTTGAGGTCCCTTCCAACCCTAACCATTCTATGATTCTAAGCCATGAGTCAGGAGACACTTATCTGCCCAAATTAGCTCAAGGCACAATGCAGGTTACATATACTTTTTAATTTTTTTTTTAATTTATTTTAAATCTGACTTGAAACTGGCATAGGTGGACATAACTAACCGTAGGAGGATCCATGGGGTCAGAGAAGCAGCCCTGGTTTTTGCCCCACATCTGGGAAGTCAGGCCAGGACAGCAGACGTCTGCACACAGGGCCACTGAAGAGGCCGTATCAACAACATACACCGGAGGCCAGTGACGTGAGGAAACCAACAAATCCACATGATCCCGGGCATTTTCTCCTCTTACTATGTACTTTGAGCCACACACAACCTGGAAAGAAAAGGATTATCACCAAACAACATAATAAAACTGAAAACTTAAGGAAAAATATACAGTCTTGAAAAAATTAAGCTTCCTTTCAGGTAATTCAGAGAATACAGTAATCAGTTAGTTACTTTCTCTAAAGATATTCTGCTTCCTCCTCATAGACATTCACTTTCTCATGTTCAAGGAAGAGGTGATTTTCAGCTCCACCTCAGCAGCAACATCAAAACCAGGCTTTAGATCAGTAGTTGATCTTGAAATCTCCTGCAGGACTGCCCATACTCCAAGCCCTCGAGGCAGCGTGTTTAATTTCCAGGGCTCAGAGAGGCCCACTCCACTGCTTCTATTTAATGGGGGAATTCCACTCTGCTAAGTCAGATAACAGTGAAAAGCTAGGTAAGAAAAAACATGGCTTACTCCAGCCTTCCTTACCTGGTGTGGACACACTTTGTAGACTTTCCCTCCCGTGTGATCAGCAGAGGCTTGTGTGACACTTGTCCCATTCTGTACAAACTCATAGAGCGCCAGGAGGGAGTAGCAGAGCTGGTCCTGGAAAAGACAGGCCCCAGAGAAAGTCTGTATGAGGCTAAAATTAATGGACTCCTCCAGAGAGAGAGAAGGCTGCAGGCAAGGTCTCCCAAATCCTAATTTGCACTTCATCCAGTCACTTCCTAATCCCACACTCAGCGCCCTGAGGATGACAACAAATTACTCAATGCTGAGCCCGTGACAAGGTAATTACAGGCTTCCTCCCTTCTAGCCCACAAAGGTTCACTTTATTTCACCATGTGTAAATTACCCTACAATCTGCCTAGGCATCCGCTTCTAACCCACCCCTGCCCTGAGTGCAGTCAGAGGAGAAGTTAATTATCCAGGATGGCAAGTGTGAATGATGGAAAGACAATGAAGAACAGCTCCACTCCTGCAGGCTTGTAGGTGGGCAAACAAGCCATTACCTTTGTAGTTGAAGCGTCCCAGGGGATGCTGCACTGTGTCAGAAAGCTCTGCAGCTCTTCCTCGCTGTAAGAGCTTATCAGCTCAAGCCTGAAGTTCTCTTCCTGAAGGAGCCTCACCAAGGCACTCCCGTTACCTGCAAAGGCAAGAAACAGGTCTCAGCGCTCATTCTCAGGAAGGGAAGTCACCAAAATAATTTCTTCGTAAGACTGCAGAAGCAGAGATTGCACAACCAGCTGCAGCAAGAGAAAGCCGTGCGTAGCCCTATTTCCAAAGCACGTCACAGCCCACACTTCTTTCAGACCCTTGCTAGTGAAGTCACCAGACTGAGCCCAGCAGAGCTGCAGACTCCACAAGTCTATCTCAGTTTTTGTAACCTTTAAATGACTGGTTGGGCTGATGTGAGGAAAGACAAGTGTCAGAAGAGCACAAGGAAATGTGACTGCAGCCTTTGGACCAAGGAGCTCCAGGATCACCCTTCACACTTCCTCCCTGGCTCTTTCTCTGGAGCTCCACTTCCATGAAAGCCCATGTAGCCCTTCTGCAGCTCAGCTCTCCAAAACACCTGCAGCCCAGTCTGCAAAGCCAACTCGTTAAGCTTGCAAAGCCACTTTTCCTTCTTATACCTAATACCTAAATTCTTAAGGGAAATGGGCGCTAAATAAATTTAGCTCTCATACATCTGAGCTTATTCATCCCACAGTTTCTTGTTACATGCAGTCAATGCCCTGGATATACTGAAAGTTGATCGGGAC